AACCTAGGCCTTATCGCTACAGGGTCAATCCCCTCATGTGTGGAATTCAGTGGGAAATAACAAATTTTTCTGCATCTTTGGCAGAGTGGAAAACTGAGAGCCCTATCTGACACTCTAAGCAATGTTCCCACAGAGGTCAAATAAAGAGAAAATAATAAACAGGTCTAAATATTGTGTATTATTTTCCTTAGAAGGATTTATACCATGCAAAAAATAAAATGTATTTAATTTAACTCAGAGACACATAGTTCCTAACCCTAACCTTATATTTTGACTTATTTGCTTACAAATTCCATTTTGATAAAAATGCTAAATTTGGATTTATTTGTTTTTACAGATTCAATTTTGAGGAATTTTCACCTAGAGGAATCCAAGATCTTCAGTCAAAACAGCAATTTCTGGGGAGGTAGATGATGGGGGGAGGGGTAGCAGAGGGGTTATAACTTGCTGAACATTTCAGTAAGAACAGTAATCAACATGAGATGTGGTGGTCCTGAGTAGTGTTCCATGGCAAGCAGAGGTTTACATTTTTTAGGTTCAAGAGCAGGTAAATGTCTTTCGTTTGGAATTCAACCGTAGTTAAAAAATTGGGAGATCTGGTTTCTTTTTCACTTGAAAGAATAAGAACATTTTAGGAAATTTCTGATGCCTGACCTAAAGTCCTCTCATCTTTCTTCAGATAGAGAATAAAATACTTCAACACTATGCAATTCTTTAAGGGAAAAATTTTTCCCTTAAATGTTTCTTTTTTCCTGATGTTTTTGTTGATGACAGTAAACTGCCTGATAAGAAACTGACAGATCACTTCAAATAAAAGGCACTGTATTACATGCTCTGAAATGAAATTCATATCTAAGGCCTTTTGCAGAATTAAATCATGCACCTAGTATACTCCTTAATAATCTAGGTAAAGATATATTTTCCAGGATTTTAATAACTCCATAAAAAGTCTCTCTCTGCATGTGTCTTTATCCCTTATAGTATTTCAAATTTGGCAGACTGCCTACAAAGTAAAGATACCAACAGTTTAAATAAAATTTTTGTTTAATGAAATAAAGCGAACCTTACACACAAATGCATATTACATACAGATAATTTACAGGTTCAATGAACTTGAAGCATTGAAATATTTATTCCAATGCCTTGCAGATTTGAAGATGAAAAATTTATTTAACAGAAGTGTACAAACATTCATGGTAACCAACATATACAGAACATCTACTATATTATAGGCATTGAAAAGACATAGACATATTGTATATGTTGTCTGCGTATTTCAGGTGAAACGGACAGGAATGGGCACATGTATTTCATGGATGAATACGTGTGTATGAGACATATATATATATTTTCAATTAGGTAGCTCTTTCTTTTTTTAAATCTTGAGTTATTCTAAAGAAGAAAATAAACTTTATACTCACTTGTAGTTAATCGAGCTTCATTTTGGCTAATCATAATTTGACCAGTGATTTTTTTCCTCAGAGCATGAAGGACAGTGCTTAGAATTTAAAAGTTTAGTGCACCCAAAATGCTGCTCTTCTTAAGCCACTTTGAAGTAATGCTAGTGAGTCTACGATCCAGATCTACATGTTAATCTCTAGTTTTGCCTTCAAACAGAATTCAGTTACAAAGACCTTGGAAAGATTTTGAATCTATTCAGGAGAGAAAAACCTTTAATTTTCTGAGGAGTAAAAACTCCCCAAGAAACTTCATATAGCTTCTTAGATTTTGCTTAGCATACGTGATAAAACATTGATTGTTGCAGTTTGGTGACCCATGAAATTTGGGGGTTAGTTTTCTCTTCAGACCAGAGCATATAATTATGCAAATAAAGAGCTGTCACTGATCTAGTGAAATACTCACAAACACATGCACTCTGAAATTGGACAGAAAAGTGAAAATGGTTGGTGATGTGAGGGTGCCATGGTTTGTTTTCCTGCCAAGTTTCTATCCAAATTCATTATTCAAATTGTAAACTTTAAAAAGAGACATAGCATTCTTGGGGTGTTGGTTGTCTTTTCATTTCAGATTCTTTGTATTGGTATTGCAGGCTGACCACAAAGTACACTTCAACATTATTTTACCTGTGACAGTTCTCCATATTACCCGAGGTAATAGCCAAGGAAGAGAAAGATGAATGACCTAAAAGGAAAGATGCAGGACTTCTCTAGATTTCTTTCTAGAAACATGTTTCATGTCTGTTTCAAACAGAACTCAACTCCAACAATACAAAGGATATAGTGAAAGGTTTTCCACAAATCTCAAGGCGAAGGACTGGGAAAAGTTGCTTAGAAGGCCTCAGGGACTAAGTCAAACTTCCACTTTCAAGCTTTTTATATTCCAGGGGAAAATACTGGTCACTGTGTGGTATCCACTTCATGGTCAAACTTTCAGGATGACTTTCTCCTATCTAGCAATTAAAGCCAACTATTTAACATTTCGTGATTTTAACCTTTGCAGTTCATTTTACAGTTATTACTTCTCTAAAACCTTTGTGCCGGGGATTAACAAAGTTCTTCAATCTAATCATGCTCTTTGGAATCAAGGTCTCCCAATTCTAAAGTTACCATTGCACAGGCTGTTGCATAATTTTAGATGTCATGGAGAGTCCCACTGATGAAATCTGAGAAGGCTCATGTCAGACCACTGACTGCTAAAGACATCACTACATGAAAGATCAGTGGTGTGAAACTTTAAAAACATCGATCCAAATGAATCAATTAAATCAACATTCATCCCTCCTAAGTGTGTGGTTTAAAACTATCATTGTTGCTTTTTTTTTTTTTTTTTAAAAAAAAAAAAACCTTACATAGATTTTGAGATAAATGCTGGAATGCTTTGATGGCTACTTCTATTCTCGAATCTCCGTTAATCGACTTTGTGCTATTTCCCTCTTTTCAACATCTTCCACTTGGTGTACATTCTTTACTCTTAGTACAGTGCATGACAGTTGCAATGCTTTAAATCTAAAACCGCCTAACAAAGCTGATGCTTTAGGTAGGGTAGCTTTAAGCTCTGTGAAGCGTTGATTAAAAACCCTTTCCCAGACTCAAACTGATCTTTTTGGAGATTAATAGAATATTAGATAAAAGGAAGACGAACAATTCAAGAGACTCCCACTCAGTCATTCTATACAAGGAAGGAAGGAAAGTATTCAATTTTTGAAAGGGAGTACCTCCTGGAGTCTTTTATTTTATATTATTACAGCCACTAATAAGTAATAATAAAATAACCACTACCATCATCCCCCTTTTTGCCACCCATATTTCAAAGATGAGAGTGTCTCACATTTATTTAAAGACTTTTTTTTCTCCACAGAGGCATGTGGAAAGTTTTTGAGAAATTTTTACACTTTCTGTAGTAGTACTCTTTCTTAAACGAATTAGGATTACAGACACCAACAGGAACCTGTCAGTTTACAGTAAAAAATATGATTATAACAAGAGACACACATGTGTTTGGATTGGAACTGCAGATAATCCAGAGAAACAAACAAAATCTAACTTATTAGCATGGATAATATAGTTAACATAACTCTAAAAGGGGCTAAAGGTTTTAAGAAAGCTGTAAAAGAAATGTAAGTATTTTCAGATCGAACACAGTACATCAAGAACCTATATACACAAACTTGGAGGCAACTTAATCTCACCAGACTCCTCTTGGAAAACACATTTATTTATGGCATATTCAAGTTTATTTTATAAACAACAGTTTAATGATAGGTTGTTCAGATTTCCTTGCTAAGGAGATATTTTAGATATTAAAAACAACTGTCTTATAAATGTTAGCTTTGTAAAAGGTGCAAGCCAAATAGTGACTCAACTGAAGTTAGAATATTACCTTACAGCAATACTAACAGAAATAAAAAGTAGCCATAAGGTTTAAAATATTGATGGATGCTGTCTCATCCTTCCTTTTATGTTTTTGCTTTAAAAAATCTCTATGCAATTGGTGAATAAGCAAGAATTCTTCTGAGCAAGAATAATAACACCGCTGTTGTTGGGAAAATTGTTTTTATTTTAAAATGGAAATGGAAATATACAGGAAAAGCTTGTGCTTTCCTTTTTATTCTTTGAATAAGCAATAATAATGCAATCAAGGTCAAAGCAAAAGGCAGAAAAGAACAGTTATTACAAGTACATGGTCTTCTTTTCAAATATCCATGAAAATGTTTAACGACTGGATGGCTAGGTACCTACAGAAAGTTCTAAAGCAATAATCTGGCCTTTAAGTTTTGACAGGACTATTTTGAATCTCAGATTTATCAGTCACTCCTTTCCCATTCTACTTCTTCTAAGAATTAAGTATATAATTAAAATAAAAAGTCCACATCCTGACTTTAAATCTTCACTCTCCTAAAAACCTGTTTGAGGAAACAAAAATGGGGAAGAAGAAGATCAGAGCAAAGATATTGTTAACACTGGCGGCACTCATGCAGGTGGGCTACTACCAACTGCTGGTTGTCACTCCAGGAAAATCGAGGTGAACATTATTACATTTATATCAACAAACCCATAATCAACAGGTTAAAAATCCTGCATTACAAAGGATATGATCACTTATCAGTTGGTGGTCTGGAAGTTTGCCTAGCTCCCTCTGGGCTGCTACAGCTCAGATTCACAAGTAGAAATTACATTTACACAACTTAAGTTTGCAAATAGCTCTCTATAGATAGTTAAACAAGGCCTAACCATCCAGTAGTTTTAAATTATTAGAGGCAATTAAATAGTGATTTATTCTAGTTATAAGAAAAGGTTTACAAAGAGGAGAGATGATTTAAGAGAAGGATAAGGAGTGATGTGGTTTATAAACTGAGCATATTTATTTTGCTCTAATTCAGGTGCAGAAGCTTCACAAATTTAGCATTGCAGAAGTGTTGGTTTTTTATAAATGCTATAAAATTGTTTCCTGTCAACATTTTCATATACTGAAAACACGACACAATTTATAATACCTTGAAAAATATATTCAATTCACATCTATTCTTGAATCTCTCACTGGAAGATACCATTATTTTACAGAGTTCACCAGTACTTCTAAAGTAGTAAAGATTGGATAAAAAGGGTCAATATCACAGACAAATGTGCTTGACGTTGTTGGGGTTTACTCATTTTAAGCCATCCAGTAGCTGAATAAAATGCCATTTTGATTTTTCCTCCCATATAGTTGATTTTGCTTAAGTAACACCAAAATATATGCATACCTGACCACTGAAGAAAGATCACTTTAATTTGTCATCATTAAAACTATAGAACTAATGAATGTACTTGTATGTCAAACACAGCAATGAGATATTAACAGCTTTAAAACTTGTTGAAATCGGTTCATAATATAAAAACATTTAAGCACGAAGTGGTTGATTTTAAGTTACTTTTCTGAGGCATTAGACAGTTCTAAGTCATTTTGGGTACATTTTCTCATGTCCTGAAATAAGGCAGGCATATTAATTGTTGTATACACTTTAAAAAAGGATGAAAACTATTAAATTCATGTTCTCATCTATTAGAAACAATCTTTACTAGGTAATTAAACTTGTCAAGTAATTAAAAAATAATATGAAAATTTAAGATTTTAATCTAAAAGTCAGCAAAACCTTAATATCTCCTGTATTTCACAGTGTTGGCCACATCTTAGCTGGATTAAAATACTTAATTGTTCAAACTGTAGGGCTAAACCCTACAGAGGAAGCAGAGTGCTAAAAATTATACCACTGGACTGAGAGAAGAAATTCTTTCACACCAAGTCCTTCTCTTACTGTTAAAGCAGAAAACTAAAAGGATAATTTTAGCCCCACTTAGCCTTTCAGAAGAAAAAGGCTGCAGAGCACATAGGTTTAGTTTCCTGATGACAATAAAAAAATTCTCTCCCTAGAAGTGCCTAACTCCAAGAAAGCTCAGAATAGATCATTCTGGAAAGGGTTAACAACAACAATCTTTCTCCACAGAGAGATTTAAAAAGCAAAACTTAAGTGTGTTATATCTAAATTATAATGCCACTCAGTACACATTATATATTTAAAAAGTAAAGTCAATTCTAGTGATAACAGTTGGAAATTTCATTGAAAATGGGACCTTTTACACCTACACTTAAAAGAGCTGCCCATCATTGTTTTGGTTTTAACAGTCTCTTCTGAAATCAGAAACTTGTGTAAACTCTCACAAACAGCTGGCAAAAAGATTTTCAGCAGTAATGCGGATTCAGTACTTTATAGATTTTTATGCAAAGTTTTCCTTTTTTTTTTTTTTCTGGTCCCGAAATGAAAACAGGGAGAGAACAATTTGCACTCCCCAAACTACATGGTACTGTTCTGAATTTGAAATTGGTTTGGAACATGTGTGTGGAACTTCCTAAAAAAAAAAAAAAAGAGGTGGGTAATAACATGTCCTCAGGGAAAAACCTAGTTAAAATGGAAATTTGAAGTCGGGAATAAAAGTTTGTTCCAGTTGAGAGCGGGGAAAGATGGACATGATTAAGGAGGTGGAAGCAGCAGCGGCTGCGCTGCAGCGGGCGCTAGGACCATGCCGACGCCGCCCGCCCTGCAGCGCCCGCGCGGGCTCGGTCAGGGCAATTAGAGCCGCGCCAGCCACGCCGGGCAGGGCGCTGTCAGCCTTAATCTGAGCGCTGACGGGCAGCGCTCAGCCCGCAGGAAGCACGACCAGTGAACCCATATTGCTTTGACAGTTGCACTCATCTAGAAATAATGCAAAACGCTATTTAGATGTACATATCACGACCCTGTGCTCTGGGAAGAAAACAATCTAATGAGGGGCTGGGAGTCTGCTCGACGACACAAGCAGTGAGGAGGGTGCGGGTGCGTGCGCCAGGGCGGCCTCCCCAGTCGCGCTCGCTCCTCTTACAGCTCTTCGTGCTTGATGCGGTGCGAGCGGCGTGTCACAGCCGGCTTCAGGGAGCTGATCTTGGCTTCTGAGGCTTCGGTAAAGAATTTGAAAATAGACGGGAAGCTCTTCCAGGAAGTTAGCTCGTGACGGTCGGTGCCTGCAAAGAACCACACATTCGGTTACCAGGTGGCCCCGCGGTGCCGGGCGCGGTGAGGGCGGCGAGGGCCAGGCCTAGCT